GGGGGGCTGGGAGAGTAAAGCAAGAAAATGGGCTAGGTTTCTGATCTTTCAGGCTTTAAGACTGGATATCAGTGTTATGTTTCAGCCAATTAGATTTGATGTTGTTCGTGTCTATTGACTACAAAGCACAGTGATATCCTTTTTAGTCGATAATAGGCTGATAATAATAAATAATAAAAAGCACTGGTACAGCACAAATTCCCACCCAACAAGCTCTACATGTTTAACAATCTGTATTATTCCCAGCAGTTCCTAGAACTCTCAGAAACATTTTCAAATTCCCAGGAAGCATACAGTGCAAGCAGCCGATTCAGAGCTCAAACACTAATAAACTGACAAGATCTTTCGCTGTCTATAGCCGAGTAAATATTTACATCTTGGTGAAGAGAGACAAAGTCATGTTATAAGTTGACATGTTCAAATTTGATAAAAGGCTGATTTCTTATGATTTTTGGGCTGACCTTGCTTTATTTTTGTGAGTCTGCCATCTAGTGTTTCCAAGCCACCGCATATATATAAAAGAAAAGTACGAAAAAACAACAAACGTTATTAAAAAATTTCAAGGCCGTTTAAATTTCATAATCATGCACACAAAGCTTTTTACATAAACAGTGAACAGAGAGGTTTGCAATACCTTCCTACGTCTCTTTGGGCTTCTCTCTCCCCTGTGTGCTGCCACAACAGATTGATGATCACCTTCAGCGAATAAGAAAGAAAAAAGAAGGTTAAATGTTAGCATTGACTCCTCATCTTGTTAAAAAAGAAATGGGATAGTGAAATCGATCCAAAAGCTGTAGGATTTGCAATTGATACAAAAGAAAAGATAAACACACTCGAAATTAAGATGGCAACCCATTGTCCGGGAAAAAAGTGGCCATCTTATACAATACAATGTCATTATAATGTAAAAAAATAGCAAAGGGAGGAAATGGTCAGTGGCCGTTTGTACAGGTGACTGCCTAATACAAATGGCTGTTCAAGCAGATTCAACTGTATATCAACTTTCAGTACCTGTCACATTTATATCATCAATGTGAAACGATAATGACCTTAATTAATTAGACAATGACATGTTTTAAATGGTCATAAAAGGGTCAAAATCTACTGACAAATTCCTGAATTATAATAAGAAATTGAGAAGGCTTGTTGGAGAAATTCTGAATTCCCCCCGACTTACTATATTAATCCATCCTAATGTTTTCAAAGGCAATTTACCTGGAGAATAAAGACTTTCTCAGTTGTCTCTATGCTATTTTTAGTCAAAATACTGATCGATCTTAAAAAATCAGCCAACATAAAATTTGCATAGCCTGACCCAAAATCTGCAAAAATCAAGGGTCGCTCCTCCCCTTAAACTATGGTAATGACATGGGCTATTATTATGGCATGCTGAAGCTACATGCATGTGGTGCAGACTCATATGGGTGTCTTCCAAATTCTGTTTCTCTCCCTCCTTCTCTCTGGTTTACAAGCATCTCTTAATGAAGGCACAATATACACAGGGCATTCGAGTTTTAAAACAAAACCGATCTAAAAAACACCATAGACAATTCTGTGAATGCAGAATCTATAGATCATTAGAAAGACATAAACTGGAACCTCTCTGTGATTCTAAAATCTTCCTTTTACGTCAAAACGGTGGGTACTGGAACTTTTCTATGATTAGAAAATTCATAAACTGTATGGAAGATGTAATATATCCAGATTTAAAAAAAAATAAGCACAAATATTCTAAATCTTCTCCCGTCTTATTGAAAAAAAAAATGTATAAAAAAAAAAATCAATACAACACATAAAATACATACTCTGTGAGAAAGGTAAAGTCTCGAAATCATCATCATCATCAAAGATTTCAACCGGTAAATCTCTGGTCAACCCAGTGGTTGATACATCTTCTTTCATCACTTGGGGAGGAAGTGCACTGCGAAGAAACAACAAATAAAGTCAGTTACATGTGTCCAGGTAAGAAACACACAGAAAACTAAATAAAAATTTGCCCTTGCCGTTAGTTTAAACTTTAGTTGACCCTGGCCAAGGGGACTACTCGTTGTTGGGGAGAAAAGTGGTCATTTTAGACAGACTGTCTGTGACAGGTAGTTGTTTGAGCAACTTCGACTGCACATCCTAAAAACATTTCTGGTAAGAAACTTTACTCTGTAGTTCATGAACACAACAACTGAAATTTTAATGTGAATCTCAATCTTAATCTGAACACATGCACATACAAAACAATGATTAAACTTTCAAAATATTCTTCCAGTATACTTTCCCCTTTCACGAGCTAAAATGTCAAGTTAAAGCAAAGCAGTGTCAGTGTAAATTCTAAGTTGGCAACTCAAATAATGAATGTATACATGGAGAGGTTTACTAAAAAGTTCCTTTTTCAAATATTAAAGCATATCCTATATTGTTAAGTAATAGCCTTACCGCTGGGGTTTTACAGCAGCAACAGCCACAGGTTTGTTCTTTGCAAAAGATGTCATGGAAGTTTGGAAGCTTCCACTTTTACTCATGGGCTGAAAAATATTGTAAAATACAGAAGGTCAAGAACTTGTCATACAAACTACATGTGACTTGCTAACTGAATTTTAAAAAAATACAAAGAAAAAGGACGACAGATTTACACCACAAAAAGTAAGTAAGTATCACTTATGACTTAAAGTGTTATTTCTATGCTGATGATACCCAAATTTATGGTTCAACAATGTTTACCAACTTGGATGAACATGTCCATCGGGCTGAAAATTGTATTGCCTCAGTGAAAAACTGGATGAACAAAAACAAATTGATGTTGAATGATGATAAACCAGAAGTCATTCTGGCAGGCAGTGCAAAGTCTGTTAATGAGGTTGACCATGACCACATGACAACTGGTGATGCGAAAATTGCATTTTCAAGAAAAGTTAAGAATCTTGGCATCTATATTGATTCCCTGTCAATGTCGGCTGAGGTAAATCATCTGATCAGCTGCATGTATTTAGAAATAAGAAAAATTAGTAAAATATGTCATCTAATCAATACTAAGTACACTGCTTTACTAGTAACTAACTTAGTCTTATCAAGACTCGATTATTGTAACTCCTTGTTATCAGGAATATCACTGAAGAAAGTTAAAAGACTTCAAACTGTCCAACACAATGCTGCACATTAAGTTTTACGAAAAAGAAAGCGAGACTCTGCTAAACTTCTTTTACGGACATTGCATTGGCTTCCTGTTTAGAAATGAATTGTGTACAAGTTGGTCACACTATGTCACAAATGCTTGAATGATAATGCTCCATCATATTTATCAAATCTGTTATGACTGTAAATTCCAACTCGCAGTTTAAGGTCATCAGCTGACAAAAAGAAATTTCTTTTACCATCTATGGAACTTAAAACAATGGGTGAAAGGGCATTTGAATATCAAGGCCCCAAGATCAGGAATGCTTTGCCAAGTACTTTAAGAGAGATCAAATCTTTTGATTCATTCAAATGTCAGCTGAAGTCATTTTTGTTTTTAAATTAATAAGATAAATATTTGAAGTGATTTTCTGTTAGTCAGAACGCAATGTTTTATATTACTGCTGTACATTGTACTGTATTGTAAAGCACTCAGAGCCTGTGTACTTTAATTGGGGTGGAGCGCTATATAAATGTAATTTATTATTATTATTATTATCAGCTCTGCCATTGATCAGTCTGGGTCTAACTTTTAAAATGGAATCCAAAACAAAGTGTCATGATTTCTCTCTCACTCAAAGTCTACACAAACACATACAGGTATGATCAGATATAGTCATCAGATATAGAACATAGAAAGAGAGATAAATCAACTGACTCATGAATGGAAGCTACAGGTAAACAGGCCAGTCAGTTCATTCTTTGACAAAATTCGACATAACTCAGCAGAAAAGAGTAGTACCGATATAAGAGATAAAATTTTCTCTATAAAAGCTTCAATACTCAAAAGGAAAACTGAAAAGAAACAGAATTATAAAATGAACCAAACATTAACACCCTTCCCACGTGCACTGAATGAATGTGTTGATATTTAGAACACATGCAGTCCTGTCGTCAAATGTCATTTAAAGCTATCTCTACACGATACGAATATAACCTGGAGTGATAAGGTGTACCGATGCTAGACACAAAGAGTCTTCTCATTTAATGATCAGCTGTGAAATTCAGCAGAATGAAACAGACCTGTCAAAATGTAGATGCTAGAACTAAATGTGATGTTATTCTGAAGACTTCACCTCCCTTAAGTAAACAATTCTTTCGAATCAGTAAGTGTCGTTCTTCTTTATAAAAATCTTTTAAAAAGTCTCATTTTGGGAGAAGTTCCGGGGGGGGGGGAGTCCGCGATAATGTTGCAAGCCAAGGTACTTAAAACACAGTCACTCAAAATGCATCTGTACTCCAATGACTGAGATTCCACTTTAAAAGAAAATTGGAACCAGTACACTTTCCGAGAACTAAACAATCCACACATGTTTCGTCAAATACCTGTTTCTTTTCTCCATCGTGACATGCAGCTTTACTTCCTGATGAAAGCGGTGCACTGGTAGCCCTACCTCCTGATGATAACAGTGCACTGGGAGATTTGCCATCGCAAGGTGTAGACCTACTTCCAGATGAAATTGGTGCACTGATAGATTTGCCAAGGTGAGGTATGGCCTTTCTGTCTGACGAAAGAGGTGCACTGGTAATTCTGATATCACTTGATGAGCCCTTATTTCCTGAAGGAAGGGAGACTGGGGTAGTCTTTCTGTCACTTGTCCCTTTTGGAAGAGTTGAACCAGGAACAGCTGACTTTGAAGCTGCCCTTTTAAATGTGAACCTTGGAAACACAAAATGAAAAACATGCTTGTGATGAATTATAATAAATTGACCTAAAAGGAACTCTAGAAGGAGTGCTGGTACAAAATCTCTTCTCTTTGCTTGTCAATACAGTCAAACCTTCCTTATTGGAAACTTTTCATCATGGAATCTCCCTACTCCCTCCATGATAAATTCCCCTATAGATAATACACACCTAAATCAGAAACCTGCTTAACCCGGAAATCCAAAGAGATGGCAAAAATGCTTTGCCTGTTAAGTCCTGATTTGAAACAAACTCCCAAGTTTGATTCCATTGGCTTTAACCTTTATGTCCCCCTGCCAGGCAAGGAAGTGGGGAAAGGGTGCGGATTGGAGGTACATGTAGCTTTTACCCCATCCATGTGAGCCCTGAGCGGTGCAGCTGGTCAGGGTGTTGTAGGTGAGAAATCTCACTTATACTTGAGAAAGTGCACAAGTGGCTCTCAAGCAAAGAAATTTTCTTGGTTAGTTAAAGGTGTGAAATGAATTTGATCACTACCTTGATCATTGCTGCTTACAGGGAAAGAGTGGCATAGATTGACTGTGCTTATTACATCAATCAGTGAGGCTAAGAATGGAAACAGGAGATTTGCAACCGTTTCTGTATAAAATTAGCCACACAGAGGTCTGATTATGGCAAGAACAGGTGGCAATGGGTTTTTATGAGAGACTGACACATGTGATTATAGAGCCGGCAAGGAAGTATTTGGCAGGTGCGAAGTTTTGACTGCTGCTTTTCAACCGAGCAGGTAACCATTGATCTCATAGTGTGTAGGCGGGACCTCTGGACCCCCCCCCCCCATCCCCCCGTAATTTCACTTGTCCAAGATAGAAAATGTCTATACATAATTGTTGCAGTATCTGGCTATTCTAGGAGACAACCCGCAGCATGGCAGCAAAAAAACAAAAGACAAAAAAGCATGGAAAAACACACAACTGGCCATCTTTGTATCATCAATTGTATAACAAATATACAGTCGAACCTGTGGAAAACGGAATCGCAAGGGAGCCAGAAAAAAATTGCGTCTAAGACAGGGGAATTTAGTGGGTGGAGATTGGGGGGGGGGGGGGGGTCAAAGGCATAGCCGGTGGGATCAAGGGTTGCTTGTCTGGTCGGCAAGCACTCACAGGTGGTTAAAACTTCCCACCTCTCAGCTGCTATCTTCTCTGGTCAGTCTTATTTATCCAATTACCACCAGTGCTTGCATTTCATTGGACCAGACCACTGTTTGACCTTATTAAAAACAAACATTTGAACATCTCCTTTGCTTCCACTCGTAGCCCCACCTGTCAGTGTAATAAGCACATTCAACCAATGCCACCCTTCACTGCCATGAAACAACGATTCAAGGAACTCTTTTCTTGGCTGGCTGTATGATCAGGGCGGCAGGCATTGATCAAACTAATTTCACATCTCTGGCTACCAATGAAAATTTTCGCGCTGGAGAGCCACTCGAGCACTTTCACTGGCTCTGACACTCGTGAGATGTCACATCCACACCATCCTGACCATCTTCATCGCTCAGGTTTCACATAGATGGGGTAATATCTACCCCCCAAATGCACCCCTACCCCCCTTCCTCGTCCGACAGCATAGGGTTAAGTTTAGAGCTGGCGGAAGGAACCAAACTTGCGAGTTTGTTCCAAATCAGGACTGAACGAGCAAAAGATTTTCCGTCTTAGACAGGTAAACTCCCTTGGAAAGGAGCGGATTTTTCTCTCCGTTTCTGCGTTGGACAGGTTTCCGTTTTATACAGTTAATCAAAAAGGAATGTATCAAGGGAGGAGCGGGGAGATTCCGTTAAGACGGGTTTCCCTTTTACACAGGTTTCCGTTAAGACAGGTTCGACTATTTTATCAAAATCATTGTCTTGCAAGCTTGTAAACTGTGAATTCTACTTTTCCTATCTCACCGTCAAACTTCAATTCCACTACAAGAAAAGAGTTTTAAATACAGTACAAAGAAGTAATTTTGTCGGAGCTTCATTAATATGAGACTAGATACATCACCATAGCCTGTCATTTTGAAAGGGAAGTACGAAACAAAAAAAATACTACATCATTTCATTAGAACTTTTACAAGAAATAATTTACTATTAAAGTAAAAAGAGCAAAAAGTTAAAAAAATTTGTACTCACCCTTTGAAGGTAGCTTTTTCAGCAGCCATTTCATAGACTTGTTTTATCTAGCTGAAATACATAAAGAAACAGTATTTTAACTTAAAACTCAACACAAATTTTCATGACAATATATGACAATAAGGTGGCATTTAGAAGTGCAATGAAATTTAACACACCGCATCATGCTACAGCTGAACTGTATGCCAATATAACAAAAATTAGCAATACTTTCCCCTGAGGTTTTGTTGAATATTATGTCGCCGCAAAAGATGGTTCAATGTATCCTACCATTCAACAGCAGACTTGCTCATGCGCACTGTCAAACCTACTTGTAAACAATAAAACATTACACCAATCAAAGAAATCGTAGTGTTTCAAGAGCTAGAAGGTCCCCAACAACATTATTAATTAGTAGATTATATCATCAAGTGAAATTCTTAGTATGGTCAAAAATATTCCCTTGGATTTACCAGAATAAAAAAACAGATGTCTTGGAAAAACCAACATGATGTTATTGTTATCTTGAGTTTCTGGTGTGCTTTCATGAAACCCATTCAGTTCAATATATTCATTCAGGATGCTGAATCAACAGAGAAAACATGGACCAAAATTTTGGTAGTATCTGACAAAGTGACAAAGGCAATGAAAAAGAGTATAAGTACTGTGAGTTCATTCTCATTCTCTTGTGGATTGAGGCACCAAAAAATGAAAGTGTTAAAAATAGGCCTCAGCCTTTCAAAAATTTGTTTAAAAAAATACAGCACTTATACTCCGCCTAAGATCCCGGTGCTCAGAAGCAAGAATTCTTAGGCGAACGGGATCTTAGCTGACACACCAAGGGAAGAATCCAGTAACCCATAGGCCCACAACCTGTAAAATGGTCTCCCTTTACTCTAAACTGAACTGACTTGACGTGACCTTTGAGTGGGTTTATATGACTTTAAATGGCGAGCAAAGAATGGTCAACCTGGATGACCAATCATAGTGGCATTGAGGTATAGTATGCCATTTTAATTTTCACTTCTTATCCTATCGTGAGTCTCAACATCAACACTTATCTAGTTGTTCTTCCCCTTTACCTGTCTAAAATTTACTGCTTTCCATCTCTAACCGAACTCCCTGCCTTTGTTATGTTATTACGCACATTGTGTTTTGACTACATGAAATAAAATTCAGTCAGTCTTGTTAATTCGGGAGAAGAGACAACAACTGCTGCAGAGGTCAGGGAAATGTTCACAGTTCGATGTAATCTCGCCTAGAGTGAACTTGTTGGCCTCACCAACTCATGTAAGTTTAGGTGGATAGCTCTGATGTGAGTGCGATGTTTGGGGAAAACAAATTAAATGCACTGGCAATTTTTTTCTCATGCGTTTTTCTCAGAGGGAAAATACAATACAATCAGAATAGGTCATTGTAATTGATTTAAATAAATATCAGATTCCTCTCTCTATTCCCATCAGTTTGGTACACATCTCAGCACATTGAAAAACGTTAAAATAGTGCCAAAATTAGTCTTAATGGGTTAGGACCTTTGGTGGCCTTTTCACCCTGGCAACTCATTCAGCTTTTTTAGTCGACCTCCGTTTTTGTTTCCCATTTCAGGGCTCCCCTTTTCAGACCAACTTAAGAGGTTCTTTCACATTTTGGTTTTCTATCTTAAGGGGTATTTAAACCCTTGTTTTAGAAACTTAAAGGGTAAAAGTCAATTATTTTCTAATTTTAAAGTAAGAATTTTTGCATGTAAACATTTAACTCACACGCACGCACATTCACAAAATTTTTATTGTTATTTATAAGAGTTGTTTTAAAGCGCAAATATATTTACACTGAATTTTAGTATTTTAGCATTTTAAAGTCTAATTGTTGACCAACCGTGCAGTGAACTGTTGCGAATGCTACCAATTTGTGCTTCGCGCGCTCATATGACCGTATGCAGTTTCGAGTGCCATAAAACCCTGTACTAAACTAAACTAAGACACACATATAGTGACCCTTACTATGATTGAATGCTAACAATTTTTTAATTAACTAAAGGTTTCTTAGTAACAGCAAGAAATAAATGAGTAATATTGACTACACTTAGAGTTGTGTCCATTTGGAGGGGGGAAGGGTGGTGGTGGTTGAGCCAATCAAAAATAAAATAAATTTTACAAACCAAAAGGGGTCAATTCCAACTGTAATGCACAAAGAAAATCAGACCTGCCCATCAATGAAATCTAAAAGTCAGGATCACCCCCCGGGGGCGGTGCCACTGACTGAAGTGTCTTTAGGTCATTCCCAAAGGGGGGACATTTCTCGTTCTGGTGCTCAGTAGAATTGTAAATGGGCTGATCTAACAACGTCATACTCATAACTGTGCTGCCTTTTCTTTCCTAATCCTTATTATCGTCATTTCCTCTACTTCTTCTGTATGTTTGTCACACTCTTGTGACCCGTTATTTCCGGGGTGCCTTGATAGTCAAAGCAGACTTTGTGCTGTTGAGGCTAGAGAGGAGAGCAGAGTAAGTCTGATTCCCTGTAAAGACTTCTCTGTTGACATCCACCCCTTGGTGCTCATATGACCTTATGCAGTTGTGAGCGCCGTAAAACCTCTACTAACACTAAAAAAACTAAAAGTCAGGATCTCAGTGGGGGGAAAAAATCGGGATCAACGACAAATCACCAAGGTCACTGCCAAACTGACTTAAACAATTTCCAGGGATGTATTTTTGTTTGTGTGTGTGTGTGTGTGGGGGGGGGGGGGGGTGTGAATGTATGCGTGTGCGTTTTACCATTGTTTTTTTAAAATCCTGAAGTATCACGTCAAGCTGTCCTAGTTTAATACCCCCCCCCAGATAAGTCCCGAAAGACGCTTCAGCCGGTGTGCATGAACTAAAATTGACCCCGTACACGGACGGTCCACGACACACGCGGAACTCACTTTGGTGGGAGACATGTCACGTGGTGCGAAAGCGCAATTGAAAGAGTTTTACTGACGGGTCTTGATGATGAGCCCGGCTAACCAGAACTCGGATAAAGCTTGTTTTGAAAGTAATAGCAAAACTACGAATAATATTGACCATTTGTGCTTCGCAATTTAAACTAAACAGCTATTGGTCAGGCCATCATCGGAGAATTCTGAGTTGAAACAAAAATAAAAGCGAATATGATTATGATTTAGGGCCTAGGTCTTGAGAATGTCCCACGTCGGAATTCCCAACCAATACTACTTCCATTATACATGTTTCTTGAAACAACACTGGCGTACAAAGATCCAACACAACAACTAAATTCGACATAGACATTTAGGAAAATAGTGCTTCGAGTTTCTGCTGACAAAAAGTTTAACGAGTGCTTCCCACGACAAAAAAGAAGGCTGAGTAAGATTTTACAAAAAAATCCGACACAACAGACGGAACCAAAAATAAAAAATAAAAAAATAAAAATCCGAATACTCGGGATCAACATAGGGAAAATCGAGATGCTTGGAAATTTGGGGCAAAAAATCTGGATATCCCGAATACATTGGGATGAGTGGCAGGTTTGGAAAATAAACTAATTCCTTATTCTTCAGAGCCATCCCAGTCGTTCGATGGTGGACAATTCAAGTTTACTAGATCTAGTGTGTTAAAGAAGGATGGGGGTAATCTCACGGCAAGGGTAAACTCAAGGCACGACACCGGCAAATATAATGCGACCGACCACAATGTGGGTGGAGCTTAGACTGTGCTCCAGCAAGCCGGTGTCGCCGGGAACTGCGTGCAGCTGATGAGTAGATTCTAGGTCTTCTGCTTCTGACACAGAGTCCCAGACAAAAGGTGACTATGGTGTTATGTGTGTGGGTGTGTTGTTAAATCATTGACTCGGCTTCGAGGTAGAGAAGGGGGGAAATGACGATTGCAAGACGCACACTACCTGAGTTTTAAAGCGTATGCAAACCCCCGAAACGAAATTTTAAAGCGTAAAGCTCACGCACCACCAAAACTTTAAGGGGGTAATTTGCAGGTTTAAGGGGTAATATATGCACAAATGTGCGTAAAGGGGAGCCCTGCATTTTTTTTTTAAACTCATGCATCCGTCTCATGGTATACGTTTTATATACTTTTTTTGCAAGTTAGTAGTATTTTGCATGCTGAACACAATATAATGGCCTTCATTTTTGCCACAAAGTTGAGCTATTGACGTTTGAAAACAGAACTATATTACAGTAGGACCAAAGGCGTATAAATATGAATTTGTATTTGGTCCAAAAAACGTGAGCTGTCTTAGCTGCTGCTATCAACATCGAGATTTACACCCAAATAAAAAAACAGAGCATCCTCATCCGATTCATCCATAGAAGACAAAACCACAGAAAAACTGAACCGGATGCTTGAGATTAAGATTCCGACGACACAACAGGGAAGGCCAAGGGAGAAGCAGTAGTTGATGCCAGCAAGTCCACACTCTCACTACTCTCAGTCTCAGCAGCCTCTATCTCGGCACGCGTGTACGTTGCAGTCGCTGTGAGTTCTGGAGAGAGTTCCCAAGTCAACTAAATGTAGTTCCAACCCAATCCGTATATTTTTTTGCAATCCATAACGAGCACTTCAAGTTCTCATTTCAATTTCCCGAACAGCTCAAGTTACACTTAAGCACTTTGTGGGGTCACTCAATTCATTTTTTAAGCCTAGAAACCCCAAAATGTCCATTTTTTTGTTTTTTTTGTTCAATGCGTTCTTTATAGGGAGGTATCCTTTCCATTAATAGGCGTATATAATCCCAAAATCCCCGCGCATTCATCGGCCTCGATGTGGCCTTCGGCCCCGGTCGAAGGGGCTGCTTGGATCCAGCCAGAAACCAGACAAAAAATATGGTCATAAATAGTCATTATTTTGAAGCCGGGCGGGTTGTACGGATGGACGGATAGCACAGACAGTACTCTACATGGCTGCAGAAGTGAAAACGAAACTAAACGCGCGGTTTTTGGCATTTCACCGGGAGCGCGGATGAGGGGAAGATTGAAGAATACTGGACCACTCGTACATTATTGCGCGAGAATGTGGGGTAGATGGGGCGGGTGGTTGGGGCGGAGGAGGGGGGAGGGGGGTTCAGGGGGGTCTTCCCCCTGACAAAATTTTAATGAATAGATCTACCGGTCCGAGATTCTCCATTGAGAGATATATTAAAAACGGGAAAATCATGAATTCCTAAGGTTGAGACATAGGCAAAGTCAGTCCGCTGGTCCGGTATTCTTCAATCTTACCCGGATGAGTTACGCATGCGCAAACAGCATGGTTATCCATACAATTGTGCGAGCAACTCTGTCTAGTTGACATTCTCTCTGTAAGGGCATGTGACTTCAGAGGTAGGCCTGCAGTACAGTTGATCTATTTTAACAGTACATACTACAGACAGAGTCAGTCACCCAGTAATTTGAGTAAACCTTGCTGAGAAAGACATCAAAGTAAAGTACAGTCGAACCTGTGTAAGACAGCCACCCATTGTCAAGGAGAAAAGTGGCCGTAAAAGACAGGTGACCGTCTTAGGCAGGACTGATCAAGATGAAGAAAACAAACCCTTCCTTCCTGAGGTCCCAACCAAAGGTAGCCGCATTGTTGTTGTTGTTATTGTTGTTGTTTTCGCTGTGTTTCTTAAATTCTTTTTTCCCCCTTTTGTTGCTGCTTTTGTACAAGGGTGACAATAAAACGAAATGTGTCAGACAAGGAGGACCGAGTGCTATGGTAAAACAAACACATGGGTCGCCACCACTCAGAGAACGAGCGACGCTTCTGTCTCAAGTTCATGTTGACGTCCATTGTTACTTTGTCACAGACTGGGTAAACAGTGACCACTCATCTCACGATTTGTGTATGAGTTCTGGGCGGGGCTTAGGTTCTGACTCATGAGGGATAACACGCTTACCTCAATGGCAGCTGACAATTTGTTACCTATTGGTCAACAGTGGGAGGGGCCTACGCAACATGATCGGTTGGAGGGACTACCTACTTATGAATGACCTGAGGTTCGAAAAGGGATAATTTAGGTCAATTTCCGAATGTTTTACACTCAAATTGTTCTTTGTACCTGCACAAGGGTATTTAAACAAGCTAATTTTTTATCAGGTAGATCTAGTATCATTTCATACAAAATCAAGCTCATTTGAAATATTTTGTATAGAAAAATGGAAGTCTTGTTTCCTGACTATCCTTTCGAGCTCCTCATGTCTAAGTGGGTCAATTTCTTCTATAATTTCATTGGACGAACATCTAGAGCTATCAACTTGGCATGTTTTTAATGAGACGTATGCCTCGATTACGAACCAACGCAGGTGGTTCTAGAAGAAGGCCACAAACGCACACAAACTCAAGCAGACTGACGCACACACACTTGACCTGCGTGAATGGGGATCCGACTCGGGACCCGAATGACACGTAAGAGGATGCGCGCTGCGCGTGCGCTGAACCAGGAGCTACACTGACTCGGGACCAGAACGCAGGCGAGGTGCCGAAACAGGCTTATCGGGCTACATAAATCCGGCTCCCGCAGGATGAGGGTTAATTTGGTCGTCTACAAAGACAAAGATGCTACGGCTATTTAACTTTTCGAATCGAACCGAACTACGCGGGTCGCCATTTTGTTTTGCCCGGAAGTTCTCGCGCTACTCCTCTCTCTCTCTCTCCACTGCCCACAGACAAAATTGTACGCTTTTTGTAGGCAAGGCCTAACAGTAGTAATGGAACGTTTGTTCACCCGGGGCCGGGGTGAGAATAGAGGTGGCCTCCTACAAAACAGACACAAACCTTCAGAAAACAGTATCAGATGTCATAGTCACTGATAGTCATAGTAAAAAGTAGATCTAGATAATCTAGTACGACAGACTTCAATTCCAAGTTATAGGCCTTTGGCCTTGGTCACGATGAAAAGAAAATATGCAGTCAGTAGGCCCTAATTGTAATAGAGGAGGTAGATCTAGATTAGTAAGATCAGGTCTATTCCTCCATTCGGCTTCGCATTTTTCGCATCAGGCGCGCCAGCCCAGCGTCAACAACAACAGTACAGAGTAGCAGAGCAGACCGGAAACCAAGCATTTGGCGTGATGAAGTTCACATAGTGTGTGTACAAGGGTTTGTAAATTGGACGATTATTAATTTTGTGTGTGACAGTGCTACTCTTTGTCTCGAGTGGCAGGCAACGAGTTATAGCCCCCAAAAGATATTATTTTTAGGACAGTGGTTAGCCCATAAAGATCTACATGGTGTTTATTCATAGGTGAACGAAAATGAACTCAGAGGTAAAGAAAAAATTAAACAAAAACTTAACAATGCATACCAAAACTTATTCAAATGAGGAGTGGAACTTATGCCCCTATCAGAGGGTCAAATATGGTACATTGCGTAAATAATTTAAGGCAGTATCTAACACTAAAGCATTTGATATTCAAATCACTCAAAGTTCTGTGGCAAAAAAAGGCTTTGCGAAAGATTAAACAGCTAGAATAACCAAAGCAGAGCAGAAAATAACAACTGAAAAGCCACACTTATCTGTGGCACTAAATTAGACTATAGTCTTTTTCTATTTTCCTGTCTTCTAATATCTCTCTCTCTCTCTCTCTCTCTCTCTCCCTCTCTCTCTCTCTCTCTCTCTCTCTCTCTCCCTCTCTCTCTCTCTCGATCTCTCCCTCTCTCTCCCCCTCTCTCTCTCGATCTCTCCCCCCCCTCTCTCGATCTCTCTCTCTCTCTCTCTCTCTCTCTCTCTCTCACACACACACACACACACACACACACACACACACACACACACACACACGCCCCCCCCATCTACAGTGTCAGTTTTTTTTAATGAAACAGAAATACGTACTCTTGTAGAAATTAAGACTGTATTTCCAATTCAAATAGCAACACTTTCCCGGACTTGTAAGTCATGTAAATGATCCAGTTCTTTAAAAATCTTAAATCGTCTTTGATAAACGTTTCGTCGATCGTTGATGCTTTAAGTAACAGTACTGGACAACGCGATGCCCCTCCTACAAAAAAGTTTTGTTCTGCAAAGACATGCAAGGATCACGTATCTTCATCTGCATAAGGCAGTAACATAAGAGCAGCAACGCGTTCTCGTTTGGGCTAGCCTGCCCCCAATCGTTTATTGTAGAGCAAAATTTTACAGTGCAATTAATGATTTTAGTACGTCATACCGTACATAATTTTTGTATTTTCTTTTGCTCTTGACAGGACCCCCAAAACAATAAGTTTGCCTACTTGTCTCTAACAACAAATCCTAATACATGTAGTGCAATTTGCAGTAATCTTAAATCATTAATAAATTTTAATGCCGGATCGTTTTTCTTGGAAGAATTTTCGAAGATATGGTCGTTAGGTTACCGCGGCGGTACTGTTTTAGGCCTAAAGCCTAATCAGCGAACCATACACATTCTAAGAGAACGCAATCACTTCAGCTATTATTTTTAGTTGAGTGTCACGTGATCCAGCATGGCGGACAGCGATGAAGATCGCATCCCCTCCCCTTCTGAAAATGGTGGTGAAGTCAACAGCCCCCGCATTGTAACAATAACAAAAACATCAACTGGATTTGGATTTAATGTCAGAGGACAAATAACTGAAGGTGGTGTTTTGAGATCCATCAATGGAGTATTGTATGCACCACTGCAACATGTCAGTGCAGTTCTGGAAGGGGGCGCTGCCCAGAAAGCTGGCATTCGTAAAGGAGACAGAATACTGGAAGTGTGAGTACAACAATAACAATTGGTTGCAACTCATGAGTGTAACGAAATCATTGTTCCAGTTTAGCCTACTCAGTTTTAGATATTGGTACCACACGATTAGTACAACGTGGACTCAGATTACTATTCTGTCCGCGGCTGACTGGCTTTGATTACTTTGAACTGTTAGATTTTGGGCCTGTCTGTCTTTCTTACACTCAACTCCTTGTGTATGTTTGGTTCATCAAGACTAGACTATCTAGCTAGACTCTAGTTACTGATAGTTAGGCTAGTTTTAAAGATCTCGAGGTGTTTTTAGTTCCAGTATGACTCTAAGAAAAGTGGGAAGACATGGAATAACATCAAGAGGCTAGCCCAGGGTCAGGGTTCCGGCGGCCTCCTTGAAGGCCACCTCTATTCTCACCCGGGGTGAGAATAGTGCAGGCGGGTCTTGTGGCTATTCTCACCCGGTGCGCGTGTCAACAAATTTTGCGTTCACCCTAAACCACAGAATTCTACACTGTGATAAGAGAAAAATTGTAGAATTCTGTGCTGTGAACAAACGTTCCATTACAACTGTACTTGTAGCCTACTAAAAGCGTACAATTTTGTCTGTGGGCAGGGGAGAGAGAGAGAGTGAGAGAGAGAACAAAACAAAATGGCGACCCGCGTAGTTCGGCTCGATTCGAAAAGTTAAATAGCCGTAGCATCTTTGTAGACAACCAAATTAATTTACTTTTGTGTTTTAACATCATTTTTGAACTTTGTTTTGGTCAATTTGATCGTCCACACCGATAGACAGTATTCAGAAAGAGAGAGAGAGAAGAGGGGAGGAGTAGATCTTGCGAGAACTTCCGGGCGGGTGAGAATAGCCACTTTCCTCCTTGAATTCAAGGCATTCAAGGAGTCCTTGTAAACTGCTTGAATTTGCATTTCAAGGAAAAATCTCCTTGAAAACTCCTTGAATTTTGCCAGATCGGAGAGGAACACAGGGTGACTGCCGGGGGGGGGGGCTGTAATTACCCAAGAATTTTTTAAAAATCGCCAAGACCTGGAATGCAATGGGAATTTGAAGATCTGTAAATAAATTGCCCCGGGAAAATACAAAAAAGTTCTCGAATATTTGAAAATCGATATTAGAGTTGTGTGTGTGTGTGTGTGTGGGGGGGGGGGGGGGGGGTTATAGTGGTTGGGCCAATCAAAATTAGAATAAAATTGACAAACCAAAAGGGGTCAATTCCGACTGTAATACACAAACAAAATAAACTGATTCATTATTCTTCAGTCATTCCAGGGTTCACATTCCAGTCTTTCCAGAATTTTGATTTAAAAATGTATTTTTTAAAATGGCGGACAATTCATGTTTACAAGTGTATTAAAGAAGGGGATGGGGGCAGACCTGCCACTCAATGAAATCTAAAAATCAGGATCTCAGGGGGATAAAAATCAGGATCAACGACAAATCACCAGTGTGACTGCCAAGCTGACTTAAAATTTTCCATGGGTGTCCATAAATATCTACATTTATGTATATGCGCTCTGCTCTGTGTCTGTGTGTGATCATTATTTTTTTAAATCCTGAAGTATCACGTCAAGGACTCCAGTCTAAGCCGTGCCACCCATAGTTTCGAAGATGCTTCAGCCAGTGTGCATGAACTTAAGATGACCCCGTCAATGCACGGTCCCCAACACACGTGTACGGAACTCACACGCCAAAATCATGTGATGCAAACGCGCGATTGAAAAAGATTTACTGACGGGTCTTGTTGGCGGGCCCGACTAACCAGCTTTTGGACAAAGCTTGTTTTGGAAAGTAACAGCAGGACTACGATTGATATTGATCATTTGTATTTCGCTATTGAAACATTTACCAGGCCATCATCGGAAAATTCTGAGCGGAAACAAAAGCAAAAGTAGATCTTGTGAATATCCTAAGCCGGAATGCTAAATCGATAAGTTACTACTTCCATTAGGTATAGTAGTAGAAATAACAATGCGAGCAAAGATCCAACGCAACTTCGGGCAAGTCAACTACAAAATCGAGCATTGATATTTCGGGAAATAGTGCTCCTAGTTCCTGCTGACAAAAAGTTTAACGGGTGCTTCCCGCGCCAGAAAAGAAGGCAAAGTAAGATTATAGAAAAATACAGCGCAACAGACAGCACAAAAAAATCGTGATACCCGCGATGGAAATCGAGATGCTTGAGATTTGAAGCAAAGGATCGGGATACAAATTGGGATGAGTAGCGAGGTCTGTTAGGGTAATCTCACGGCAGGGGTAAAAGGGAGGAATGATGCTTGCCAGACGCACACTACCTATGTTTTAAAGCGTATGCAAACCCCAGAAATGAAATTTTAAAGAGTAACGCTCACGCACCACCAAAGCTTATTTTATTGGGGGTAATCTGCAGGTTTAGTGCGTAATACATACGCACTTTTATACGCCATGCAGTGCCTCTCCAGGCTGCTGGTGAAAAGTTAGCTACTGGGAAAACAGAACAGTTTCGACTACTCCAGGTCAACGTTTGCGGCCTCGCAAACAAGAAAATAGAAATTTCTCTCCTTTTGGACTCAAGAAAAATCCACGTTGCCCTATTACAAGAAACTATTCACCGTAACACAGACCCCTATATCCAGGTTACACCCATTATACCTGCACATGCCCTGACTGCCAGGGTGTAATCACCTACATCAGAAATGACATACAAGGAAAAGTTGAGAACATCACAACTGACACAAGGACAGACACCCAAAAAGCTACAATTTGGTATGCAGGTTGCAAATTTACAATCTTTAACTTCTACAGCCCCCCAGGAAATGACTGCTCTTTTTAATTTCTTCAAGAATCGATATACACCAAAACAATAGTTGCGGGTGACTTTAATGGCAACTCTCCCCAGTGGGGATACAGAACATACAACAAAAGCGGAATGGCCATAGAGGAACTCTGTGGCACAACAAACCTCCTTGTTCTCCAAGACAAGAAATCTACCCCTACCCTTTTACACAGGGCTCACAACACACTCAGCAGGCCTGATTTGACCATCCTTTCATCCAACCTCTTCCAAAGACACACCACAGAAGTCCTTGACGGCATAGGTAGCGACCACAGACCCATCATGACTTCGGTGTTGACCCTAAGCCAAAGTCACTTTGTACAAAAGACCAAGTGGAATTTTAAAAAGGCGAACTGGGAGCTCTACAAGACAACAACAGAAAAGCTCCTAGAAGATATTACACCAAACTCCTCTGTTGATGTCTTCTGTGGCGCAATAACAGATTCCCTGCTCAAGGCTGTAGCTCTCTGCATCCCTAGGGGTTGCAGGAAAAAGTACAAGCCTTTCTGGAACAAGAACATCGAACAAGCAGTCCAAGACAGAGAAAATGCCCGAATAACTCTTGAAAGCAATCCTACAACAGGAAACAAAATTAACTACAAAAAAGCCTCAGCTAAGGTCAAACAGACAACCCTCTTAGCCAAAAGAAACAAATGGAGCACCACAGTTGCAGACCTTGATCTACGTAGAAACGGAGCCAAAGCATGGTCACTTCTCTCCAACTTGTGTGGAGAAAAGCGCCGAAACAACCCAAAACCCATGGACACAGAGGAAGGCACCATCGTAGAAGACCAAAAAAAGGCAGAAATCTTCAACAAGTTCTTTGCTTCTATAAACAAAGCTACACACCACACTGACCAACATAGAGACTGTCTGAAAAGACTGAAGGAGAAAGAGCATGCGCCAAATGCAAGCATCTCTCTCTTTGAAGATGACTTCACACTCACTGAGCTCAACAGGGCAATGAAGAAACTGAAGCCCCGCAAATCCCCAGGACCAGATAAGATTCACAATGAAATGCTTGTCAACCTCAGTCCCGTTGGGAAGGGTTATGTTATATTCTCCAGCTGATCAACAAGACGTGGAATGAAAACACCATCCCCAGAGCATGGAGAAACGCCCTCATCACACCCATTCTTAAGAAAGGAAAACCTGCTGAAGAAATGAAAAGCTATCGACCCATTTCACTCACCTCTTGCATCGGGAAACTGGCAGAGAGAATGGTCAACCACCGCCTATACTGGTGGTTGGAAACAACCGGTGCCCTGGACAGCAACCAAGCAGGTTTTCGTGCGGGCCAACGAACAGATGACCAGCTCTTCAGGCTCAGTCAGAAAATCCTTGATGGCTTCCAGGAAAAGAAGCACACAGTTGCAGTATTCATTGATCTCCAGCAAGCCTACGTGCTTTATGCCGGCGTGCTTAAAGGCGGCAGAGACTGTATTACTTACATTGGGGTTGTTTTTCTTTGCTGCTTTGGGAGGGATAGAGGGAGTTATGCCTCTATGGTTTTTCTTTAATATGGGGAGGGGGGGGGGGGGGGGTGAGCTATTAGGTTTATCTTTATATTCATAGCCTACTGAAATTCTCTCACATATATCATAATCCTTTATTCGCGCATGACAAATTTTTGGATGGTAAAATAAAGAAGTCCAGTGCCCATTTATGCATTCAAGTAGGTTGCATAAGGGCAATAAGATTTCTGATTTCTTTTATAAAACACAAGTGCAATAAAGTAGTGTTATTATAGTGATAAGTGTGACTGCGATGGTCAAATTATTCACTTCAAGTAGAGAAGGGCAAAAATGGCAACAAGTACTTTAAATGTTCACATAGATCAGATATCATTTTTCCTGTTTTGAAAAAAGAAAAAAAAAAAGAAGTAAAATTTCATAGTTAACATTCTACGTTATTAAAATTTTTATTGAATTACATTTATTTTGATTAAGTCTTCAGTTTGTGTTGTAGTAATAGCAGGGATCAATCGCTTCAATTTTCATATATTGCCCGTGTGTGGATATTGATAAATGCTTTAGAGTTTCTATATCAATTGATAGGGCCAGGAAAATACATAATTAGCTTTGCAAGGGTTTTATTATAACGGTTATAAGAGTTTTAGTGGGAGTTCGTGTATATTATAAAACATTATAAGTACCATGTCCAATATATATTACGATCCTTTCCCAGCAAGGCCAAGAACCTTGGTAAATCTATTTAGATTCATACAATACGTGTCCGTGAACAACCAAGCGAATCATGTCACTTGATGTATCTACCTTGATCTCAGGAGAATCAGTCCCTCCCGGGGAGGTGCCACTGACTGAAGTGTCTATAGGCCATTCCCAAAGGGGGGACATTAACTTGTTCTTATGCTCAGTAGGATTGTAAATGGGCTGATCCAACAATGTCATGCTCATAACTGTACCTGAACTGCAACAGGGAACTGCTGCTTTTTCTTTCCTAATCCTTACTCTCGTCATTTTTCCTGTACTTCTTTTGTACGTTTGTCACACTCTTGTGACCCGCTATTTCCGGGGTGCCTTGATTGTCGAAGCAGACTTTATGCTGTTGAAGCTAGAGAGGTGAGCAGAGTAAGTCTGATTCTCTGTAAGGACTTCTCTGTTGACATCCACCCCTTGGTGCTCATCAGTTGAGAGCGCCGTAAAACCTCTACTAAAACAAATAAAGAATCAGTAAAAATTACAAGGCTCCTTATTTCAACTGACATTGCATACATGTTCTCTGTCTCTCTTGTCTTGTCATGAAAGAAAAGAAAAAAGAGATTTATATAAGGTGATACTTTTTTGTCCCAGTGGGAACATTTTTCTTGACTGTACTGGAATCATAAAAACACATGATGTAGATGTACACATAGAATTATGTCAGTTGCGATCGTACAGAGATGCGACAAAATTCAGAGCCCCTAGCATGAATTTAATATCTTTTTGTGAGAGAAGTTTCTCATTTTTTGGCCCTAAAATTTGAAACTCCTTACCCCAGAACATCAGAGAAATAACAAATCCAAATACTTTGAAGTGATTCTCAAGACTGGTTTGTTTAATTTTTAGTTGTAATGTGATAGTAGGTGGTATGTCTTGTTTTTCACTGCTGTCCCTATACATATAATTAATATATGGTTTGAGAAAGTTCTTCTTTATTTGTTTGAAATAGTTTTCTTGCGTGAAATGTTTTATTTATGCTTATTGATCATGTCACTGATGTAAAGCGCTCAGTGATCATGTCCTTGATGTAAAGCACTCAATTATCTTGTCATCGATGTAAAGCGCTCAGAGCTTTTACCTCCTATGGGATAGACACTATATATGCGATGTATCATTATGACCACTTCTTTGTTAAGGCACCGATGGTCCTACGTTGGAATATATGGTCGCTTTTCGGACAGCGGGCTGACCCAGATTTCAGTGGTTTCCAGACCAACACCAAAAGTGGGCATTGCCTTACCTAAAGGAGAAGTTTGGTTTCGTTATACAGAGAACTCTCCTTGATTTTTAATGAAACTGAATAAGGGGCAAAACTTTACCTTCGATTTTCTCAAAACAGCATTCTTCGGGATAGCCCATTGTCCTTAAAAGCAACCATATTTGGTTTGATTTCATTTCGGAACCTAGGTTTTTATGGGAGGTTGATGTTGATTTAGCAGTCTTTCCCTACTAAAGATGTTAAATTTGTGTGAAAATCAGAAAGTGGAGGCAAGACTTCTTATGTAGCGATAGTGCTTAACTCTGACCATGCAAATGGTTTCTGAAGAAATTTTCAACATGCAAGAAATTTTAGAGAACGATCGTCTGATTTAAATTTGGAGACAATAAAACTCAAAAGTAAGCCCACAAAACTCTAAAAAATATATAATATATAAATGCTATATTTATAGTGCAAGATGATTCTTAATTTTTATTGAGGACATCCAGATTGACCTCGGCAATTGTTTTTAATTGTTAAAAAAGTACCTATTTCTCCCAGTTACACAGAGTATTACACTCTGTTGATAATATTATATGATGATATAATATGCCCTGCTGTATCTGTGAAAATTTCAGAACACTTTTGTCTCTTTATTTTCCTTTTCTTATATATGTTACCCAGTTATTTTTTTCACTTCTCTTGCTTTTTGCGTGCCCCTTGCATGGGCAGTCCAGCAGTCTGGTTAAGCAAAGCACTCAGACTAATCAGTATTGACCAAGGTGTCAAGGGAGTCCGGTGGCAACCCAGTCCCGCTGTGACTGATTACTGCTAAAATAATTAAGTTCACCGGAGACCAGCAGGATGGAATGAAGTGGCCCCAGGCCAAAGGAATGGAGACATCGGTCTCCTGCAACAAGCTCTTGCTTTTATTGTGAAATCAGGTTTTTGCTCTTCCATCACATCACTGCTTGTGGGATTCAGTTTGTCCGGGGGGAAAAAACGTGGTTTCCATTTGATAATGAGGATACCTTCAGCTAGTGCTTTGTTGCTTGCCTGCTTCAGTATAGAGAGACTCTGAAATATAATAACACCCAGTTTTTTCAAGCAGAGTGTTGAATTACTGGGTTTGTAGACTGTCTAGTTTGATAGCTGTGATTATTGGGGCTAGATGAGGTTTTTTGTTATCCTTTTCCACTTCTTGGACTCATGATGTCAGGGAAGGGATTTGGGTTGCTATATATTGAAGAGTGTTTATTTGTATTGTTTCTCTTGGTGCGATGTGATTTAAAAAGATGCAGCGATCTGCTGGGATAGATCAGTGTCATGAATAGATTTTATTCAGATTATACAGTTGGAGTGAAGCTTCGACATGCTATTTTTTTCTTAGTTGATTTGGACAACGTTCTAGCATTAAGAAATACAATGTATAAATTTGTCATAGGATATTGTTTTCTGAATTATTTTTTCTTTAGAGGGGCTATTTTTCTTTTATGTCTGTTGATTGTTTGACAATTTGCTTTTTGCATCATTAATGATTTGCTGTGTACTCTTGTATTTTGTGAAAAAATATTCAATAAATTGAAAAAAATATCTAAAATTATTTTTTTCGATTTAATTTGTAGGCCTATTCGCGCAGCAAAAAAACTGAAACAGGCAGTTTTGACAAGTGTTCCCACCATATCTTGGGTCAAGAGCTTTTGACAAGAAATTCCATGCTTGTGTTGCCTTGGTTTCAGTGTTGTTGATATTTAATACTTCTTCATTTTATACAATTCTGTTGATTTTTCACGCTGGTTTTGTCCTGTCTTCCTCAGTAATGGCATGAATGTAGAAGGTGCTACTCACAAGCAAGTTGTTGACTACATTCGATCTGGAGGGGATTCTCTGACTCTCACAGGTTGGAGTTGTGTGAATGTTGCTGTTGTTGTTTTTCTGGGGGGTTTTTTGTTTGTTTTTTGAAATAAGGAATTATAATAATAATAATAGATTGCATTTATATAGCGCTCTGTCCCATACTAGTATAAACTCTGAGTTAAAGTGGGCTGACTGGGTCTTTCTTTATGTTTTGGTGTGATATGTTGTAGCACTTGTCCAAAAGGAACGTATTAATTGCGGAATAAAGTCAGGTTATAGAATTGTCCTTTATTGGATTTACTTGTCATTGTCATTGACTTAATGTTAACAGTACTAGAGACTGATTCCATTGCTGTTGCTTTTAATCAAGGATAAAAAAAATGTAAAGTTGTTCCCACATCGGATCTGGACATTAGGGATTGCCTTGTTAGTGAGACAACTTCCTGGGCCTTTGGCGTATTGTGGTAGGGTGGCCAGTTCCTTTCTACACCGCTTTTACTTCCCCAACTCGAAGTCAGGTACCCATTACTCTTGGGTGGGCAGGAGGGGGTGAAAAAAATTTGTGTCCATGCCGAGGCTCGAACCCGGACTTTCCGCTTTGGAGACGAGTGCAATAACCACTCCGCCACCACTCAATCAAGAATAATAAAAGTATGACCTTTCTGCTTTTTCACTCACCACGGTCTTCACCTGATTTTGACTGACCTTTTTGGTGATGATGAATTATTTTGAATTTTTTTTTTTTTGGCGGGCTTTCTAGTTTATTATTAGATGGTATCTGTTGTTACAGTTGTTAAAGATTCATATTTTGTTGTTGTTGAGCTCCTGCAAGCAATAGCTGTGGCTGTATTTGTAGAGAAAGCAATGTGGTGTTCAATATGAGTCATGGCAAAATGACAGTGCTTTTAAAAATATTTTCTGTCTGTATAGTTGATTTGCAAAGCCTCCACATCCGTTCATTAAATGAATAGCTATATTTAGGAATTACGGCTAATTAGTTACAATTGTTCTAGGTATAGGTATTCAAGCTAGGGAAAAGGAACCTAGGTTTCGAAGTCAGTTTAGTAAGTAAGGAAACCTTGGATGTCAACTTCATACGTTGAGTTGAAATCTTTTCAAAGTCAGTTTCGGTCTGATAAAACTTTTCTAAGAAGAAACTCTCTGCCTTTTGTTATCTTGTTCCGTCACATTATCAGCATTCCCACTTTCAACAAGTAGGTAAAGGTAACGCTATTGCCTCTACAAGTAGCTCTTAAATGTCAAGTGGCCTTTAGTACTTGATGTCAATTTGTAAACTTCTTTGCCCTGGATTGCAGTTTTCATTATAAGATTTCTGCAGAGAGGCAGATTTAGCACTGTTAAAAGTCTTTTGGTCAATTGCTTGTAAACCTTTTTATCAACCAGTGCCCACTTTTGCCACACGTTAACAGGCTAAAACTTTTGTAATGCCCATTTAAATGTCCAAGCTGGGCATTAGATAACACCTGTCACTACTGGAGTAATCCCCACTGCCCACCAAAATTACTAGGTGATATCTTGCAGGCTGGAAGGCACTGATCTAGTTGGAAGTAAAATCAGTTTTTGTTGCCCGAGTTGAACTTTACACTTACTCAACAGCTTTGGAAGATAACAAAATGAAGAAGTTGAAAGAGAAAGCTCCAACCGATAACCCACAATCCATTCTCTACATAGATCACCCAGTGTTCTGTAGACTCTTCTTGCACTGTTAGTTGCCATATCATTATTTCAGTTCTTTTCAATTATCCCCAGTTAAAGGATATGTAGGTTCTATTGAGGTTTTATACTTATCATATATTGACGCTTTGACGTTGAAGGTTATGTAATATGTATACATCGTAGTTTAACGTGGCGGATAGTTGGTGGGTGCTCTCTTACCTTTTCCCCCCAGATTTCTTGTCTGTTATGTAGTCCTGCTTTTTCTAGGGGTGTTTGATTGATGCTCTGGTGCACTCTGTTCCTCGTCTCTCTTCATTGATTTTTTAAATAACCTGTTCTTGTTGAAATGCAGTAAGTGTCTTGCTTACTACTTATAAACTGTGATTCAACAAAATTTACGAACACTTCCTATTGGGAGGTTCTACTTCATTTCTTCTTTCCCCTTGTTGGTTATATCTATTCATGTTACTATTTTCTTGCACTAATTTAATCTATTTATCTTGTTAAAGTGCTTCTTGTTACTTAAAGAAACAAAGTACTTTCTTTTGTTCTTTCTCTTTCTGTCTTTCTTCCTTGAACCAATATAATTAACTCAAAACTAGGTGGGCAAAGCACTATTTTCTTGCTTTTTTCTCCCCTCAGTGATATCTGTCCCGGAGCAAGTTGCGGAGAAATTGGAGCCCAGTGATGACTCCTCAGGCCCTTCCTATATTGACTACTCTGAACGTCGCTCCTTGCCCATCTCCATCCCAGACTGCAACTTCATGGAGCAGTATGGGGACAAACACGTGGTTTGTATACACATGCACATGTTGGGATTTCATATCACCACTGTTATAACACGTTTTAGGCATTTGTTATGTAAAATATAAAAGATGAATATCAGTGCCCTAGTCAGCTTTAAGTGAAAATGAGTCTATAATTAAACTTTTAATACATGAACAAAACCTTGCTGTGTTGAAGGTATGAAACATGCAACAGATATTTTTACCATTCCAATAACTCGACTCTAAAAGCAAAAAAAATAACATAGGCAAGTGTGTTATACTGTGACGATGTGCTTGTCTTACCTGTAGAAACAGAACTAATTTTCTCATGAGTCAATTGTGTAGATATGTGCTGTAGTTCTTGTCTGTTCTGTCTATTTCTTTTTAATACTTTTTTTCTTAATCTGAGTCTACCAAAATGCGGATCATAAATTAATTTTTTGTAACAGGTTGGAGTCCCTTTTGATTTGCTCTCTGAGCTGATTGGGGTTATTTTGTACTTTTTACAAAGTTTTTACTTTCTCTTCTGGTCCATTTGATGAAGGCCAAAATTCTGGTTTAAACCAATATTTTAAAAAATAACATTTTTCCTGAATTTTTCTAATGAGTGGAAAAACATTTATCTGTAGGAAGTAAATTCCGTTTTGATTTCAGTATCGGTGTTTGCTCTGTTGTTTTTTGAAAATTTATGTTGTTATTTAAAGAGTATTGATCACATCAAATGTATATTGGCGCCTCAGTTTAATTTTTTTAAAGTCCCTTTGGTTTTGTCTCTAGTTTTATCCACTCAGTTTTGATTGGCTTCGCAGTGTGTAACAGTCCTATTTTCTTGCTACATTTTGAGGGTCTTGTTTATTATTTTCATGTTTGATTAATGTGGAATTGCTTAATCCTCAGGTGTTTAACATATACATGGCTGGGCGCCACTTATGCTCACGGAGATACCGAGAGTTTGATTCTCTGCACAACAGTCTTAAAAGAGAATTCCCCGATTTCAATTTTCCCCGGCTTCCGGGCAAGAAGCTGTTTCAATTGTCAGAACAGCAATTGGACCAACGACGAAGAGGACTGGAACAGTACTTAGAGAAAGGTGATCATGTAATTGGGAATGTTAATGCCTGTATAATATGAATAAGAACCCATTTCAATGCAGTTGTTGTCTTGGAGGGGGGTCGGGGGGCTTTGATTTTTTAAAACTCCCACCTGCAGTAAGACGTAGCTCTTTATCTCCGGCAAGCCGCTCCCAGCGGCTCGTGGTCAGAACCACTGTGCCAGTGAGCCGTTCCTTTACGACTTCGACATCAAATTACTTTTCGGCAATTGCCAAAAACAGGTCTCTTATACGGGAAGTTCAATCATTAAATGAAGAACTATCAAAATAGGTTTGCTAGTTTAGATTTTATGACCCATTTAATGACATTTTTGTCATTTTTAGATTTAGCACCAAAAAAATGGCCTTGGCGTAGTGGGTTTACCCCTCTCGGAGATAAAGAGTTAAATAAGGATTAGAAGCTGTGATTAATTTTTAAAATCCTAAATACCCGCAACTTATGTGTGGCTGGTTGGGGATTTCTACCAGCCTCCTTATGCACTTGTCCCTATCAGACATGATGTGTTTTGCCTCTGTATGCGGTTGGCGCATGCTCTGGTGTGGTTTGCTCCTTCTTTCATATCAAACATTTAGCGTCCTCGTCTCTCTAGCTTCTTTTTTTGTGTTTGTTACTCTCTTGTAACACCTCTAATCTTCAGCTTTTATATGACCTTATTGTGTTGCAAGGGCAGTAAAACTCTTAGTAATACTAAAACTAAAGATGTGCCTCAATAGTAGTGTGAAACACAAAGTTTTGTAAGATATGTTGCAGAGCTGATTTTTCTTTGTGATGACGTGAAGTGATATATTCAACATAGAGGTAATATAGAAATAAGAGAAAAGGTTTAGTCTAGGTCTTCTTAAAAGCTTTTGCACATGGCATCATGGTTACACCCTTGTTGACCCCTCTGAGAGTGGAGACCCCAGTTGTGAATAGTAGGTCAAGTAAGTTTGGAATGGAGACCTGAACTAGACGGTTACCTAGATAGCATTTTGTATACAGTCGAACCTGCCTTGACGGCCACCTCTATAAGACGGCCATCTGTACAAACAACGACTTTCCATTTCCCCACATGCATTTTTTCTATATAACTTGACTGTATAAACGGGCACCTGTCCAACGCGGCCGCGGCCACCTTAGTTTAACACACAATCCCTATCACACCAAACAATAACACCTGTCTTAGACGGCCACCTCAGTGACTCCATTACCTTTTGTCATAAATCATACATTGACCCGTGGCGTTGTGGGCGAGCCGCCATAATCCATTCCCCTGTCGTTTTTGTTAGGTAGACCCTCCAACTGATCATGTTGTCTAGGCCTCTCCCACTGTTGACCAATAGGTAACACATTTTCAGCTGCAGGTGAGGGAAGCGTTTGATCCCTCATAACCAAGACGTGTTATTGGTGTTATCAGCACGTCTCGCTCATAACCCATAAGCCCCACCCAGAACTCATACACAAATCGTGAGAGGAGTGGTCACTGTTTACCCAGTCTGTAAAAAAGTAACAATGGACGTCAACATGAACTTGTGACAGAAGCGTCGCTCGTTCTCAAAGTGGTGGGGACCCATGTGTTTGTTTTACCATAGCGCTCAGTTCAGTCCTCCTTGTCTGACACATTTCGTTTTATTGTCACCCTCACGTAAAAGCAGCAACAACAAAAAAATAAAACCCAGCAACAACAGCAACAACAAACAAACAACAATGTGGCTACCTTCGGTTGGGACCTCAGAAAGGAATGGTTTGTTTTTTTCATTTTGACCAATCCTGCCTAAGACGGCCACCTGTGTTATACGGCCACTTTTCTCCTTGACAATGGGTGGCCGTCTTACACAGGTTCGACTGTATTTTATTGATCATATTTCTTAACATGAAATAGACATGAACAATAGGGAGCCGTAAGCGTATACGATATCATTCACTCTCATTTGCTTAAGTTTAGCTATGCCTATCTGGAATAGGAATGCATGTGCACTCACGTGTGTGCGTGGGCGCACACTAAAGATGTACGCACTTACGCACACACACACGCACATGCTTGCATATACCCCTATCAACACAATTTAGATATTTACCATGTGGACTGCTTGCAGGGCCTCCGCAGAGAGTGTTTAGGAAACTACATTCAAGAAGAAATATTTGATGACATATCTTCCCCTTGTCTGAATCAAATCACATGTTTTGCAAGCAGGATGTAGAAAATAACTTCCGCTATAGACCTCCATGAAAAACACTGCCTAACATCTAAAGTTCTGTGCGTAAGAAAGTCATTGCTGAAAAAGTTGTTGAAATTTGCTCATTTGATAAGTTGGTCTAGTTTGTTGGTGATTTTCTTGTCATATTCACAGAATATATTCCTTCTTTCCCGTTGAGTATTTGGATAACGTAAGATTAATTTGTGAACTGAATGTCATGAAAATTACTTTTTGGGTGTTCTGGTGTGGTTTGCTCCTTCTTTCCTATCAAACATCTATCATCCTTATCTCACCTACTTTTTAAAGTTTGTTATCTTTTGATCTCTAATTGTGTTGCAAGTGCTGTAAAATGCTTACTAAAACAAAACAAAACAAAAATTACTTTTTTCTGTCTACAGTTTGTGCTGTGAGGGTGATAGGAGAGAGTGAGATGATGCAGGAATTTCTGGCTGCTGGAGATCTGGATGAGGTTAGTGTATATTGTTTGTTCTGCATCTGAATGTTTTGAAAGAGTTAACACTTTGCCGCCACATCTTGGCGATCGGCGATGTTTACTACCCAGTTTCTTTGGATTTTCCCCAAAATACGTGGCAAGGGATTTTTTTACTATAAAACTATATTATTATGAGCCTTGTGATGGCATAATGTTAAATGAAGCTGAAGGAATAGTCTTGCATACTTGAGAATTAATACAGACCTTCACTTTATACCGTAGTGTCCGCTTAATTAGATCCCGGTGCTCAAACCAGCTTAAAATGTCTCTCCTTTCTGTGCGGTCTGCAGGAGGACAGCAACAGCCAGGTGGAGTTGAAAGTGTTGCTGCCGGACAAGAGCCTGTGTGTGGTCACTATATGCCGGTCAGATGATACAGATGCTGTGTACAAGGTAGCTGTCCTATTTTTTTTGTTTGGGTTTTTTTTTTCCACTTCTTTTGGTTGTTGTTGATGCGTGTGTGTGTTTTTTTTGTATTTTTATACCCTGTCCTTCCTATGAGTGGACACCATCTGGTTAATATCAGAACATGTTTGTGATCTGTTGTGGGCTCTTTCTTTAAAACATTAGGAGATTAGATCTATAAAAGGTTAGCTTGTAGTAGTGTTCATAGTTACTACATTTAAAACATAGTTTTCAAACAGAATAAGTCCGTGTTAAATAAAGCACTAGTCCTGTCTTACTGTGCTCCAGAGTAACATAGAGGGCCACCCGCTATAAGATCCATAGAGGAACTCCATTATTTTAGTGACCTGAATTTTCCTTAAGTACAAGTGCTCTCTCTCTCTCTGAAGTGTGCACAAACGGGCAAGCAGAAATTCATTCTTTTGCCAAGAGTTGGGGCTTCATGCTCAATGAGTATTTAGCTATTTGGACAGTACCCTTGATGTGTTGCGGGTCTTCTCTGGCCCATGTAGTGTGACAGGAGGTTTAAGCTCACTGGTGGATCAGAGATAAATGTCTGTTGATTTTATTTACTCATTCTCTACAAAGAGCCTCTTTTTGGAGCTTCTGAGACCCTTGCTTTATGGTAGAGAATGGCATTTAATAGCTTGACAAATTCTTACACTCTTTGACTCCAGAGTCTTCAGACGGTTACAGAAGAAATATTTGATAACATATCTTCCCCTTGAATGAATCAAATCACATGTTTTGCATGCAGGATGTAGAAAATAACTGTTCCGCTCTCGACCTATTATTTTGTACTCAGATTATTTTTTTTTATGCAGTCAGATGGGAAATTCTTTTCCCTGCATTTTGACATATGTATAAATATAGACATCGGCATCACTCTTGAGTTGGTCAAAAAAAAAAAAAAATTCGAATCAGTTATAGTGTTGTCTGATTTCAGTGAGAGATAAAGATAATGGCTAGCAAAATGGCTTGGACACGGTGGAGATAATGATCCAGTAGGGAAGGAGTTAAACGGAGGCTGTATTTGTTGGAATTGTTTGGTTGTCTAGATTAAGATTGTACCAATTTGTTTAAAGTATTATTTTTGGTGATAATTTGTATGCTTGTTTCCTTGTTCTGTTATCATTTTTTTAAAGATACGTGACTTATTTGATGAGTTGCGATGACTTATACGAGCGCTAGGAATTCACAAGGAAAGTTGTACACAAGTTGCATCACTCTGTACCAGGGCTTTAAACACCATTCTGTATCAAAATTTGATAAGGACTAGTAGTTTTCTGCTATTAATATATATGGAAGTGAAATATTTGTGACTGCAACTTTTGGTTTTGATAAGTTGCCATTATGTGCAAGCTCTATGTCTTGCTTCAAGGTGGTACATAATCATTCAGTGCTTACAGTTGTTGTTCTGATATGTTGTCTCCAGGCTGTTGTTGCCAAGCTGCACATAGAAGAGGCCGCTGAGTACTTCTACCTGTTTGAAAGTGTGGAGCATAATTTTGGTAAGGATCTGGTGTATATTTATTTCTCTTTTTGCTACTTTCCTGCTCTGGTGGATCTTGTGTGACCTTAATGTAGGTAGTGTTATTTTTTAAATGTAAACTGCTGCCTTCAAAACTGAATTTTTGCTATATATTTTTAGATACTTGAATCATTCTGACTCTTAAAGTAAAACCAAGCTGTGTTGTTAACCAACATGAATACAACCAAGTGTTCACATGACCTTATGCAGTTGCGAGCATTGTAAAACTTTTACCAAACTGAAATAGATCTAATGTGGTTTGCTCTTTGTGGTTCTTTTCAGTGTTATTATAATTCTCATCTGCTCTTGGAGAAATGTACTGGCTACTGTAGTGTACAGTAATGGTTAAGCCCCTTGCCTTAATTGCAAGACGCAAGTTTGGTTTCACAAATAGGGAACTCAGCTGATATTTATCAAATATCTACTTACAGTACAGGCAGTATTGAGGCAAATGGCTTTCTAAATTGTGCAAACTGTTGATTTGGGGCGTAGAACATTTGCATCAGTTTTGAGAAATAAGGTTCTTATTCTGCTGAATTGTGTTATAATACAGCACAATTACTTCACCTAGTCATGATATCTTGGCCATTTCCTTTTGTCTCATATCGTGCCTCAAGTGAAATGATTTTGGGGAATGTTTTGCTTTTTTATTGCAATCGGTGTGTCAATCTACTTTTTTTCATTTTTTTTTCCAGCTGTGTCTTGATATTCTTATTTGCTTCATACTCTTTTTCTGTTTTCAGAACGCAAAATGCTCCCTCAAGAGCTGCCCCATAATATCTACATCCAAAATTATAGCACTGCCACAGCAACTTGCATCCTGCTCAAAAAATGGTTGTTTACTCCCTCAAAAGAAATGACCCTGACCTCTGACCCCACACTCTTGAAGTTCCTCTTCTGGCAGGTAAGGATAATCATTTACTAAAATTGTACTTTGGCATATCCTCTTATTCGCTTAAATATATTTCTTATGGTGGTGTTTTGTTGTTTCAGATTTATTTAACAGATCATTTGTACTGCATGCAGGGAACTGAATGTAAGGTTTTCAGAAATGTTGGTACAGTAGTCTGCTTAAAATGCACAGTTAATCTGAACACAGCTGTAAACCAAAACAAAATAGAATCTGTTGTTGTTTTTTTTTAGATTCAATTTTAGCAATCTTTCTCAGATGAAATCTTCTGGTCCGCAGATTTCAGTTCAAATGAACTTCACTGAAGTTTGTCAGTTGATACCCCTCCAAAAACTACTTCAGTCAATCATATTACGGTTGCGACTCAGTTTACGGAGTAGACTTGCAGCTCGTCTATGAAGTTAATTGTGTGTCACAAAACACTTTTGGAAAGTACCTTGAACAGATTGTTTTCTTTAGGATATTAAAAAAGAATAACAATGAAGTAAATTTTTGGACTTTCCCCTTTTCTTGTGCATTTGGTCTAATTAAAATTTTTTTTTCCAGACTTTATTCATTATATCTGAGTATTTTTGTCACCAAAAGCAAGACAAAGAAAGAAGCTTTAACCCTATCTGTACGCCCCGGGGTAATTTTGTACCCCCGGTGTTGTATTCTTCACCTTTTAGAATACTTCAAGTGTGAAGATCTCTTTGAAACTTTCAGTATTTTTCAAAAAATCATTTTGACAGACTGCTATGCAAAGCGCACGAATCGGATTAAAAAGTAAATTTCCTTTTTGGAAAGTGGAGGCACAGAGTTCCCCACATCATATGGATATGATAGTAAAACACAACGTACGAATAGGGTTAAAATGATATCAATAACTCCATATGTCCAAATTAACGAGCGCCTGATTCCACAGCGTTGTGACACATATAAGGCTTCCCGATCTTAGGATACACATTTTGACACAGATCGTTCTGTCTGTGTTGTAAAGAGCGATGGTTTGTGCCTTTATTTTGTCGCCAGGTGAATACCAAGTTCTGGTATAGTTTGCTTCTTCTTCCCTGTCAGACATCTGTTGCCCTTATCTCTCCTCTTTTTTTGTTTGTTGCTCACTTGTAACACCACTAGTCTTTGACATTTATATGACATGATTGTATTGCGAGTGCTGTAAAACTTACTGAAACAAAGTTCAAAGTGCATCCTTAGGTTTTATTGAGGTTCCAGTTTCATGAATGTCTGGATTATATTAATCGTACTCTGAATAACCCTATTGGATGTTCCTGTTTTAAGTTATGAAATCGTGTTTAAAAGATGAGTTCATCAGTGTTTAATCCTCTATTTTATTTGTTTACTTTCAGGCAGTAGATGATGTAAATAAAGGAATTATCAAAACTGGAGATAAACTCTATGAGTTAAAGGCCCTAAAAGAGTCAGAAAATGCTCTGGAGGTAAGTGTTTTTCTTACACGAGTCTGTGATGTGTGATTTTCTTGTGAAGATTTTGTCTTAGAACAAATATTTTGTGACGTTTGGTGTTTTGTAGTTTAATTTGATGTGGTGAGAGCAATATGACGTTGATCCTCTCTGAGTAATATGACTTGTGCTTAAACATTCGGGCAAGAGGAAGTCTGAGAGTTGATAATGATTTTGTTAGGCAACTTTCAGCTCTCATTCTGGTGAGAACGACACTGAACATATTTGTGATGTTTGCTAGATTGTCAATCTACAACAAATTACACTGCTTTTTGCTTGGCGTAAGCAGTTTTAAATGAAATGATTGAGGCGTTTTATCACTCATCCAGACTTTGCACTTTAAATAAAATCATGCTTAACCTGTTTATTAAAGGGAGCAGATATTTTGAAGTTTGCACTCAAATTCTCTGTGTCTTCTATTTCCCCCCTTTTCTGTTCTCAGTACCTGAAGATGGTGCGCCATTTGGAAGGCCATTCAGAGGTCATGTTTCCCCACTGTGCGTGCGACTCCCGAAGGGATGGTCATGTTGCTGCAGTGATTGGGCTGACTGCATTCAAACTTCAGGCTTGCAAAGAGGATGGAACCACCGAGGTAAGAATGTGAAGAAGTGTTTAGTGAGGTTGTTATTCTCTAATTGTGTAGCTGGAAGAAAAAAGTCAACTCTTTTGGTTTTGTATTGTTCAAAAACAATTGCCGAGGTTAATCTGCAGGTCTTTAATGAAAAGTCAGGAGTTGGCATGCCTGGAAAAAAAAATAGTACTGTGAGCTAACACTTCTGTCTTCATCATTTATGTCAGAAAGTTAATTTTTTTTTATGGGGGGTGGGGGTTCTTTGGTTGAGGGCTAATAAATTTTCTTGAAATAAGTCTCATTCCTAGAGCATAACACCTTCAATAAGCTTTAGCCATGCAATTCCCCTTTACCTTAAAAAAAAAGAAGAAAACTGAAAAACGGACTGAAATAGATTTTGAAAATATATTGATTTGATCGGCCACACTGATAAAAGTCTTAGTGTTTTCCATTACACGGAGGGTCAGTAACAAAAGTGGATGGTTCGCTTTTTCATCTCGCTTCCACCATCAGCATATTTGAGCCTCAGAGCGAAAGACTAAAAGAGAAAAATCAAAACAATGTGGGGCATCATACACATTCCTCCTCTCTGTCCTACTTATGTCCTTTCTCCCACTACAAGCTTTCAGTGGCGTCGGTAGCCTAGTGGTTAGGCTACTGGACTCGTAATCGTGAGATTGCGGGTTCGGGGGTTCGAGCCTCAGCTCAGTCCGACGTTGTGTCCTTGGGAAAGGCACTTTACACGAACTTCCCACTTGGCTCGGTCCTATCGGAGACGGACGTTAAACTAGGAGGTCCCGCCCCTTAAATAACCTAATAGTGTTGATAGGGGCGTTAAATCCATACCATTTAGAAGCTTTCTTTGTATGCTGATTTCTCACGGTCTTTCCCTTTGTCTTTTACTTACCCTCTTTTTGTAGAAAAGTTCTTTAACTCATTGTTGACGGCCTATGAGAATACTCGTGTCCAGGCCGCCACCTGACTACGAGAAAATCCGAATCTCTCTTTAACTATAAAACTTTCTCCAGTCCATTATTTCCAAATTAAAAAAAAACTACTATGAAGTTGCCGTTCTTGCCTTTCTGTGCACTTATTGTCCGCTAATTTTGTAGCTTTTTGGAGGGAAAGTTATTGCAGTTTTAGTGTGGGTACGTAAATTTGTGGGTGTGGCTGGAGGCAGCCGAGGTGGGTGTGTCTGCTCAGGGAGGCAACTCAGGTGGAAATGGGCTAAATGAGTAGAGAGATGTTGTTGTTTTTATGATGTATCAATGAGCCAGGGGATGGAGGGCACCGCTGTTAAGTCTTAATTCTCTTTCTCTCTGTTGTTCTTCTCTTTCTGTCTTACTCTTTCTCTGCACTACATGTAAATGACCATTAGTGTCGATGTGCTTCTCTTTACTCAAACTAAAGTACAAATTCTTACGTAATTTCTGCAATAATTATTTTTTGTCTTTCGACTGTTTCTAGTCCCAAGTGATTGAGTTCAACTGGAAGGACGTCAAGTCATATGGAGTCGATGATGAGGGAATGTCTTTCAATTTTGAGTACAACCGACAAGGGAAAAAACCCCGCCTAGTCAAAATCTTCACACCTTATGTAAGTAACAAAGACCATGACTGATGGTGGTATGTAGGATGATTTTTGCCAGAAAAGCTTTATCATTGCTTTTGTGTTCATTAGATTAAAAGTTAGAGTGCAAATGTCATGTTAGGTAATTTGTCAAGTTTATAAACTGCGGTGGATTTGAATCAGCAGTTACTTCCATTTCAGGAAAAAAAGTAAACATGTTGCTGATAACGCTTCTCAGATTGATACATGTTGCGTTTCTTTTACTATCATTTAAAAAGTTGATTCCGTTTCTTTACTTATAAGTATTAATTCAGTTGTTACCCATAAATATATTAATTTTGCCCACCACATGGCGTGATTCATTTTGTTCTCCTGTTTGATTAGTCCTTACGGTCTTTATAGCTGTGACCTAGACATTTGAGTAGTTTCAAGGATTTCAAGCCGTTTCTTCCCTCAATTTTGCTTACGTCACAAAATTCAATCAATATTTCTCTCACTGTAGTCGATATGAATTGGTGTAATAAATATTTCAATATTTCTGTTTACAAAAAATTTCCCCTCCGTGCTATTGTCGGGCTGGAGATCTTCACATGATGTCATTGTTTGATTTTGTAAGGGCATACTGTACAGTAGTAGTAAACATGCCCAAGAGTAAAATAATGAGTGAGTGATAACAAAGAATAGAGTGCATATACACACACTCACTACCCTTCTCACACATCAATGAAAGGCACAAAAAGTGTGTAGGAACAGATCATTCACCAAATGTGGCTATTTACGACATGGCTCTGCTTGCAGCCCCTATGTGAGTGGTGCTATAACATTATAGGCCTTAGCACTGCTGTAGAATAATCACGATAGATTTGAGATTTTAAAACTGATAACGGGGGCTCTTGTGGCCTAGAGGTTAAGATGTTGGCCTTTCATTCAAAGGTCCCGGGTTCGAATCCGAAAAATTTTCTTCTCTAAAATTGTCTCCTTTCATCTCCTTTCCTGCTCTTTAGCAATGTTCTGTTGTCTGCTTTCATTTCCACTTTCTGCCCCCACCCCCTCACCTCCTTTGCCCCCTCCTCTGGGCTCCTGACTCTTTCTGCAGCCTTTTTACTGCTACTCCTTGGCTCCTCCTTACTGTTGTCTTTCTGCCAAACCCCTGATCTTCTGGTAGGAAAGATCTACACCTAGCCTTCTCGGACAAGGGCGAAAAATCTCGGAGGGCCCGTGTGCAATTTCGCACGTTAAAGATCCCTTGGTGGTCTAAAATCGATAAGAGTAGGCTTCGGCTGCCACCCGGGCAAAATTCAAAATTTCCTACCAACTGAAAACATTAGGAGTGTCCCGCGCGCTCCTATGACCTATGCAGTTGCGAGCGCCGTAAAACACTTTACAAAAAATTTTTTTTTTTTTTTTAAAAGAGGGAGAAATGTTGATCCACCCCTTCAATACTTTTGGGCGTTGTGTTTAAGGGGGAGAAACTACATTGACCTCCCATGGCTATTATTACTGCTGACTCGCTGTAAATTTCATCCCTGCAAAAATGCTCTGTTTTTATTATTGACATGCTTTCTGCTTTTTATTTTTCAGTTTTATTACATGAATGACTGCTTTGATAGAATATACGATGAGCTACAATGGGAGACGTAATGGAAGTTCATGGGAAGCAAACAAGAGCCTGCCCCTGCCACGCACTGTTGTCATGAGACTGAACTTCACAAGGAAATATTGTGATGGCACACTAGAGACCTAGATATTTGTTTTGCAAGAGGAAAGAGCTAGACATTATGCACTGTACATTTTTTTGTATACTTTTTGCATTTTATTCGCAGTACCTTTACTGCCTTTCTTTGATTTTGTTTATTTTGCATCCACTGTGCGAAGGCTATGTATGTAGAGTCCAACACTCGTAAACACCGAAAGCTATGTGTGGCCCTTGTCCATTATAGGTAAAACATGATTTACTGTCTACAACTTAAATTTTGATTTGCGAGAACCTTAAGTTCAAAGTATAGGTACTGATAACCAGAGTCTCGAAATTGGCTTATTCTTTTTTAAGAGCTTTTGAGTTGGAATACTTAGATTTAAAGAAAACTTGTTTTTTTTTATTAGTCTCATTCTTCATCCAGCTGATACCAGTTTATACAGATAATGCTGTGCTTTACTCATTGTCCACCAAGTGTATGTTGTGCTGTGCATATATATATATATATATATAGTGATGTGACGTTGTATCAGGGTAAATGTTCTGGCTATATAGAGCAGGCCTCTCCCTCTGAATTTAATGTCTAAACCCTCAGGAAATCATAAATACTGTTACAGAAAACTCTGAGGGGAAGTAATAGGAAAAAGAAAGGCTCAACTGGTATTTTCCTGGACTACAGTGTTGGAATGAAAGTTAACTTTGTTGATACAGGTTGGATCAACTGGTAAAGGATTTGATGGGATTGTGGTGCTTGGAGAGGTATTAGCTCTGACCTCTGTGGTGACTTTCACTGGGATGCAAAAGGGGATGAACATTAAGAAAGTCTACCATTGATTTATCCTGGAATTGACCTGTGTGCTGAGAATAGATTAGAGAGTCCCTGTCTTGTGGTATCGCAAATATCCAGAGCTGGTTGGATTGTGCCCTCTCTTGCTTGCTCTTCCGCAGTATTTATTCTGAGAATCAGTGTATTGCTGAAATGCATTGTTTTGCTTAAAAGTTGTTGTATATTTTGTGTACATAGAGAATGAACTTGGTTGCGTGTCACAGTAGGTTGTTCCATGTGCGCAATGGTTATCTCAGTATGCAAAATCTTTGGATGCTGAGAATTTAGCCGAGGATGATGGCAATTCTTTGTGTGCTCGTGCAGGCGTACATTGCCACTATGGTGAAGATACTGGTTTTCTTGTACTTTCTGGTCAGGTTCTCCTCATCAGGGGCGTCTGGTGAAGCGGTCGGGCGCTTTGTTGTCAAACGCATGAACCTTTAGTTCCATTTCTTGCTTGGGGAGAAAGTTTTAGAGTATCTCAGTCTTTCTGCTGGGATGTTGTTTCCCTCTCAGCCTGGGATGGCCCTGACAGGCAGGGTGGGAAGCCCGCCTCCTAAATGATCTATATTGTGTTAATGGGGGCATAAAAACACTGACATTTCCCCCCACCCTGAGAGAGGGGCAGTTTTGACAGTTCTATAGTCTTCTCTTCTCCTGTCTGTTATTTTCTCTGTCTTTTCCCCATTCTTTTAAATGCCAATGTGCCAACTGTTGCAGCACAATAAGCATATTGATACTGCTAGCTCAACTGGTATTTTCCTGGACCACAGTTCAGATGTCCTTGTTTCATGGCCTCCTCTTAAATGTGGGTTTTTTGTTAAGCATTTAAGGCTTTCCACCATTTTATTGGCTTGATACTATCACAGACAGACATTGAATATAGGGTTCCTGACTCTCTTCAGCTTTGACTTGTTTATAAGGATGTTAGACCTCGGCCCTATCAACAAAATTGAGCTCAAAATGTTCTTCTTTGTGAATTTTTTTCCTCTCCGCCTATTATTTTGAAACAGTCTAGTTTTTGTTTCTAAATTTCAATGCGATTCTGTTTTGTTTTATCTCCTGAAACTGTAGAAATATATGAAGTATTATCTGATGACAGAGAGCATCAAGTTATGGGTCTGAGGCAAGAGAATATGTAGCCTTGACTCGCGTAGAAAATCTGCTGAAACGTTTTAAGATTGCTGCTTTGGAATCATCGCTCACTTTATATATATAGAAGTCTGATATTTCATATCGCTACAGCTTGCCAGTGTATGCAACCACTGCTTCTTTCAGCAGGCGTCATGGTAATATAGTCCTGTAAATTTTACTGTAGTCGGTACGTAAATGTTTGGACTCCTTGTAAAATTATACACCTGCATTTTAGATTCCTCACAGTAAACTAAAACTGACATTTATAGCCTGTTCAATTTTCAAGTCTCTAAGCAAGTTTTCTGTACGCTCATGTTAAATAAAATGGGAGGAGGAGGGATTGAAGAGTTAGCTGCAACATCCTGCCTCTTAAGGTACTTGCGCTTTTGAAGAGCTCTCTTGTCTTGAATGATCCCCTATAGAAATGCACTTCTCATGAACATGGAATAAAATTCTTCATTGAACACAGCTACTCACTTCTCGAAACAAAGGATTGTTTATATGACCACAGTGAGAGAAATGTAACTTGTAACTATGCTTTTATTTGTGTTTCAGATATAGGCAAGTTGTACATTGAACATGCTGTAGTAATGAGAAAGAACTGTGAATGAGCCTAGTATAAAGTATCTTTACATCGTGGGTACATGTAAACTTCAGTCAAATTCTGATTAAATGCAAACAAGTGGTTGCTGAGAATTCTTGCTGTGAGTGTGTCAATTTTGTCTCATCATAAAGTAATATTTTATGTTTGTCATGGACAGTCTGCTCTGTGATCATGGCTTGTCTTCAGCTTTATGGGTTTGATGTGAAATATTGGGCACAACAAAAGACAGTGATGAAACAGGCGTTTACACATCTTAGGTTCCTCAGTTGAGCCCATTGGATATATATATATCTCATCAAAAGTTCATGAATTGTGAAGTTTCAATCTTAATGAATCTGGTGCTTGAAGGACACCAGTGGTAGGTCTTACCTCTTGTCTTCACTATGTATTTGTTATGTCTTTTCCCTAATACAAAATTATTATTGTCTCAAGCGTGCTTGTCATGTATTTCAATATTGTAATCCCATCGCTGCACTCTGTGGTGATGAAGTCTCCTTCTTGAGCTAGAGTTAATGTGTTGTGCTCAAGGATATTCTACAGTGGTCTGTCAGTAGGAAAATGTGTCTCCATATTGCTTCCCTAATCTTTAACAGAGTATTTGGATTGGTACTGGAGGACACAATCACAGGTACCCTGTGTGGGTTGTTGGAGGGCGCCACTGGTATGTCCTACTTCTTTATTTTCCCTCTGTTGTTTCTGTTTCTCTGTCTTAGTTTTTCCCAGCACTAGATGACCATCATTGTGTCGATGTGCTTCTCTTTACTCAAGCAAACAAATAGGTACTCTTTTTTTTTCCCTTCCATAGATTAGTAATGGTAAATTTGCACTTTTGTAATAGTGTTTTCAGTTATCATTGTGTTGATGATTTGGTTCTTTCTCTCAGATTTTCTGACTTTGGCTCTCGCTTTTTTACTCCTCTCCAACACATACTTCCGTGCAAGTGGAATTTAAGGGTTTTATTTATAATAAACTAAGTGGGCTTTGTTTTTTCATCGATGACTTGTGTATTGCTTGAAAGGCTCTGTGACTTGTCAAAGCTTTGAGTGAAGATCAGTTTTGAAAGAGTTTTCCTTAATTTGACGAAGGCTGTGAATTATTGTTGTTATATTGTTTATAGTGTGTGAGTATTTGTATCAACATGTTTTACCCATGCAGATTCAAAGGGACCTGATGATACCCGCCATCTTTGTTGCTGTCCAGTGTACATTGGAACAAATTTTCAAGTGCACATATCCTCTTTTCCATTTTCTGAGTTTTTTAAAGGCGTTACTGCAACATTTTGCAGAAACTCCTGGGCGTTTCTGTCCAAAAGAAAATGATTGTACAATCATCATGCACAATGTGTCATGCTAAGGGTTTCCTTATTAATTCTTTTTCTAATTTTCCATAAAATTTGAAATGTGAACAGGTTTTAGATTGTAAAGTTATTTTCGTGACATTATTGGTTTCGTTGTTCAAAACAAAATTATTTAGGTACCTGACCGTGTAGTTTTAAGCAAAGCTGTCAGTTACAATACTCCTTAGTTTATTGTTTAATCTTGTTTAAAGTCATTTAACAGAATGGACCATGTTATACCTGTTGGGCTTATTTCATTCTCTCCTAAAAAAATGTTGTATGCTCTGGAAGAGTCATTGTTGTGACGTCATCGAAAAAAAAAGAAAAAAATCTCCACATAGGGCTGAGTGCAGGACAGCATATACTACACTGTAAAAACGGTTGCTCCGTATATATTATGAGTTTTTTATCAGTTACTTTTGCTAATCAAACGGTGCGTATTATTTTTGCTTTGAAAGCAGCTGTCATACAATATTTTTGTTATGTCGTGAATAGCGTTATCGGTGTCTTTGATTTTCTAGATTCAAAATTTGTGGGGCAATTAACTTTTTTTTACTTGACAGATTTTAAAGTGCTCAGCAACGTACCCTGTAATATTTTTTTTTTAAATACTGATCAGAAACATTTTGTAATTGAAAAACTTTTTTTTTTTTGGCTTTGCCTGTTTACTGTTGATAGTAAACCTTGAGTGAATCATACCGATATGCAGGATGAACAACTCATGTAATGTGAGGTCGCCCTGGCCCCGAAAACTACCCGCACCAGTTCACATGCTCAAGTGGACACAGTCACTCACTAAAAAGTCTTTTACGCTGAAATGTGAGTTTAAGATCTGGCAACAGTACTGTAATTGTATATCATACTGTCTTGTGTGGCTGTGAGTGGTGTGAATATTTCTTTATCCCAGTGATTTCCATATCTGTGTTCACATTAAGTCCTAAATTAAAGAAATAGTGAAATGAATCGTATATCTGTAACTTTTCCATAGCAGCCTTTGCTGCCAGTGTATACACCTTTGTATTGTGTCATGTGTTTCAACAGATTTGACACTAAGTTTTGTTTGAATTTGATGGTATAGAATTAGTGATTTTCTTTTATGACAAAAGTTTCAGTTCCACTTTGGGAAGAAATGCTAGTGGGGGGTTGGAGGGTACCACTGTAAGGTCTTACACTTTTTATTCTCTTTGTTGTTTCTGTTTATTTCGCTTTTTACCATGCACTAGAAGAATGTTATTGTGTTAATGTGCTTCTCTTTACTCAAAATCAAAGAAAAAAGGAATACTACAAGAGAATGCTACTTGTGTGGAGACTTATTCTGTAAGTTAACGAGGTTTTAGTTATCAAATACTTGTAATCATGAATGTGTTTATCATGGCCATCAAATGTGAAAGAGGGTTTATGTGTAGGAATGATGTGAATTGAGTTTCATTCCACTTTTAACACTATGTAAGATTATGTAAGAGGCTGGAGACCTGTTCAGCTTGTTTCTGACAGCATAGAGCTAGGTTGGCTGAGAGCCATGGCACTCTTTACACAACAGAGGTTCAACAGTGCTCTATCGGAGATTTGAATGCAGGTCACACAATAGCAACTAAGTTAAAGTGACGCATCCACCCATATGTGTGTGCATGCGAGAGAGAGAGAGGGAGAGAGAGTGCAGGCAAAGCTGCCGTAGGTTTTCTTGTGAAGGGTGATAGTACTCCTCAACCTATCAAATGGGAAACGAAGGGAATGTTTGTTGGGAGCTTCTGCCTCAGAAGTTATCCTGTTTGTGTGCAAGGTGTCTAACATTTCTGTTCAGTCTTGTCGGATTTGACTCCTGCTCCAGTATGCTTAAGCAGGGGACCAAACTGGCTTTGCTCAAACTGTTGGCCAGTGTTTCTAACGCGACAGTTTTACTCCCTGGTATCTGAGGTGCAGTGATGGAGCTACTCACCTTGCACCTAGAATGCATGAATTGGTGGGTGGTTGGCGGCTGATCTGGTGTGGCCTGCTTCTTCTTTCCTATCAAATAACTGATGTCTTTATCTCTCTTCCTTCTGTTCTGTGTTTTTTTACTCTCTTGTAGCATCTTAGGCACTTATATGACCTTATTGTGTTGCAAGTGCTGTAAAACACTTACTAAAACAACAGAATGCGTGAGTTGGATACACCTTGAAAGGGAAGATATTTAATTTTAATCAAATTTTTCTGCTTTTATTCTGGGGTGTATGTCTGTGTGCCCTTCTATCCCCCACTCAGCCTGAAGAGTCAAAGAGGTCTGTTTTCTAAAGTTCTGGTGTTGATGAGATGTTTTACACGCATCCTTCATTTCTCAGGAAGGCGTAATATACCTTCCATCCATGGTGGGTGCATTTTTATAAAGGCTTTGAGAAATTTAATGCACTGGAAGTCTAGGAAGAAAATACTTTTGACTCGTGTGGCTAGTTGTATTGTTTGCATTTTTTAATGATGATAGAGATATTATGAATATCACCCCCCAATGAGTAGTGGCAAGCCAGACACAGGGGCTGGGAATTTTCAATACTTTGGAGCGCTTTGGTTCTTGGCAGTCTCGAGGCTGGGAATACATTCCTTTATGTGCGTCCCTTGCTTTGGAATTTGCGTTTGTCAAAGTTAATTGAACAGTATTGATTGGAGTTGATACGCTGTTCCCTTTGTCACTGCATCCCCTTAACTTTCCATGTCATAGTGATTCATTATGGAGGATAAGTAAAGTGTATCTTCCCCTGTCTTTACACTAATTGACAGTTTCAGTGAACTTTCTGTGAGACATAATGCCGACCCCACGGTGATCCCGGATCTGCATACAAGGTCAATTCAGTTCCAAATGAGGAGTCCAAGTTTACGTCCACCAATTTTGGTTGTCTTATTTCAATCACTAAGGCAGACCACTTAAGTTATCCTTTGAAATTGGAGCCTTCCGATTATTTTGCTTGTTGAAGAACCTTGATTGGATTTGCATAAAAATCCCTTTTTTGTATTGATTTCTGTTTCCATCAGTTGTACCCAGCTTAATCATAAATGACATAAATAAAAATGCACTGGTGTGTATGCAATATTTGGGCAACTTATCAAAATACGTATTTTTATGTGCATATATTTGCAATATACGCATTTATTTGCCATGATTGGTTCATAAAGTAATCTTAATCTACTGGGTTTCTAGAGACTGATTGTTTTCTCAAGTGTGGAATGGCTGTTATTACTTGCATCAGAATTCGTTTCTCTTTATACTCAAGTGACAGGTCAGTAATTGAAACTTTAGTTGCACTAAACTTTGGCGCTGAATAGCTTCAGATGTGCGCCCCCCCCCAAAAAAAAAAAAACTCTGTCCTCAGCCCCCATCCTTTTTATGAGAGAGATTACTTTTGTTTGTAATATTTGGGTCTTCATTGTTTGTTTTTTAAAAATCGTGTGTGTTTGTGGGTATGTTGGAAAAACTGATTGCAGTCCTTGTACTGTGTCATGAAATAAAATATTGCTCAGTTTGCTACCCATTGGTAGACAATTTTGATCTGATTCACGTACTTAGCCTCTCAGCATTTTACATTGTAATTCATTTAGCATCAGTCTTCAGTCATAGAAATAGTTGCACATCGGTTTGAAATCTAACTCAACTGCTGTAGTTTAAACCTGAAAAGACATTCTATCTTGTTCATGGCTGTATCACCCTGTTTCACAATGTTCATCGATGTATATTTGCCAAACAAGCTCCAAAATGAAAAAATCACCGAACTTTAGTTGTCAGCCTTAGATAATGTAGTGTTCTTCTTTTTCTTTGGTGTAGAAGTGTTTTTGACAAAAGGGCTGTACCTGTGTTTTAAAAACAGATGATGCTTTTGAGAGTGTTTTATTTGTTTGATAAAAACACAATCAGTAGCTGTGCACATTATTGAAGAGCGCACTGTTAGCGCGCATATAAAATTTATATCAGTTTGGCAGTTTGTAAGGCACTCTTCAAATTCTCATTTTAATTGTTGCCATAGAAGCACATGCCCGGTCAGTGCTGATCACCCTATTTATTACACAAAAAGTTTTTTGTGAAGCATATTGAGTGGGTTGTATTCATTGTTCTTACAAGATGCATT